ACCCGATAAAGCAGGAAAGCTTGTTTTTCTTTTCCAGATTATAAACAAAGAAGAAGATGAAGATGACGAGTAAGCTACAGAGGACAGTATTTAAGTTTTTCATGTGTAGGCTGGGCTGACAGTCTAAGTTTCTTAATATATATATATATTGTTTAGCCAAATTAGTTAACAAACATGGATGTTTGTTTAAGCAAATAACATATGCTGTAATGTTATTGTTTCAGTTGAATAAATCTATTTAAATTTTTATTATTAAGGTAATGATTATTTTTCTCCTTCCTAAGTACAACAGAAAAGTTGTCCAAATATGAATGATTAACCTATTAAACTGGGGATAAAAAAACTAATATGAAAAGTTGTTATTCTAAAAATCTTCATCTACTTGCATATTAAAGTTATACCAGCAAAAATTAGTCTTTATGTAGAAAACTATGATTAAAATCAAGCCTTACTGACTAGTGATTTAAATCGTGATTTAAATTGTGATTTAAATCAGCTTGATTTAAATCAAATCCACCCTGTTCCTGAGTAAACCTTTTTCAGTGCACGCATAAATTAAAAATATTTCTTTTTTGTTATTCCATGGACTATAATCTTTGGAACAACAATCCTTTAGAAACAAGAAAAAAAATATTTAAAGAGTTACTTCCAAACTTCATCACAAGTACAAAAAGCTAGGACTGTGTTTCTAATGCTTTACTATTCATGGGGGTTGGAAGTGTGAGAGTAGACACTAGAATATGGCAGGCTATGTTACTCTACCGGCTGAAGCTGAGACTTCCCTATAAGTTTAGCTCCACTGATATTAGAAGACAGATTTCAACAGGATATAAACAAGCATTTTACAACAAGCTCTAAAAGGTAAAGGTTCCCCTCGCACATATGTGCTAGTTGTTCCCAACTCTCAAAACCAAAGAGCCAGCACTGTCCAAAGATGTCTCCATGATCATGTGGCTGGCATGACTAAATGCCAAAGGTGCACAGAATGCTGTTACCATCCCACCAAAAGTAGTCCCTATTTTTCTACTTCCATTTTTATGTGCTTTCAAACTACTAGGTTGGCAGAAGCTGGGACAAGTAACGGGAGTTCACCCCATTACGTGGCACTAGGGATTCACTGAACTGCCGACCTTTTGATCGACAAACTCAGCATCTTAGCCACCGAGCCACTGTGTCCCCTTTCCCCCCATTTATTATTTTTGAGTTATGAGCAAAAAGAGTTACACTTAAGCAATGTCTATTTGACACAAACTGACATTTGGATGCTGGTAATACGACTCAGGTTTCTATGGCAGATAGCAGAAGATACACCACTTGTGTATTTTGCACAACTTAATATATCTCTGGTACCAACTATGTATCTTCCAAGCAATCGACCAATGGAATATCTTGTCTTCAGAAGTTGTGGATGCTCCATCACCTAAGGCTTTCAGAAGGAGATTAGACAACCATTTGTCTGAAATGATATAGGGCATTGATGGCGAACCTTTTCGGCGCCAAGTGCCCAAACCGGAACACACATGTATGCATGTGCATGTGCTGGAGTGCTAAAAACCTGAAGACCAGTTGGCTGGAGTTCGCATGCATGTTTTCAGGCTGTTTTATGGGCCATTTTCAGGGAGTTTTTTTGCCCATTTTTAGGCCAGAAACGGCCTAAAAACAGAAAATGGCTCAAAAAAGGCCAGAAAAACAGCCTGTTTTTTGGCAGTTTTTCAGGTCATTTTCGGTGCTCCAATGCCTGAGAAGACCAGCTGGCAAAACCAGGAGAGCAGCTGACGATGGCGCGTGTGCCCATAGAGAGGGTTCTGTGTGCTACCTCTGGCATGTGTGCCGTAGGTTTGCCATCATGGATATAGGGTCTCCTGCTTGAGCAGTGAGTTGGACTAGAAGATCTCCAAGGTATCTTTCAACTCTATTATTCTATGTTCTATGTTCAAAATTGGCACAGAACATTGGATTATCACAACTATATGACTGCAGCTTACTATGTGGCTTACACATTTAAAAAAATATCGAAAAATTAGACTCAAAACCCCTATTACACTAGCCTATGTTAATCCACTTGTCATTAAACACTAAAACAAAACAAAAAAACCATTGCAATTTATCTCTAAAAATAAAGTTGTTGGGTCATAAGGTAGTTCTCACTTAATGATGATAACTGGGAACAGCAACTGTTGCATGGTCATAAAATATAATATCATGTGACTACAGAGACTTATGATGGCCATGTTATGTGAATCCTGCACAGTTGTAACATCCTATGGTCATGTGATCACCATTTGTAACCTGCCAACTTTCCCATTCACTTTGCTTTTCAGAAGCTAGCAGTGAAGGTTGTAAATGACAACCAATGACAGTGGGATTCTGTGAACGTTATAATTGAAAACAGGTTTTCAAACTCCTAAATTGCAGCCATGCCACTGCAGAGAAGATTCAACAATTACAACTATGCAAAATGGTCATTAGTTGCCGATCATTCATCATCACTGTAACTTTGAACAGCCACTGAAGAAGTAGTTGTTCAACAAGGACTTTTTTTAACTGCATCAATCAGAACTGGACAAAATATTCTAGAACATATGGAAGAGTTCCAGACATATTATGAAAAATATGATGTTAGTACTCAAAGGAGCGCAATAATTTCTGTATCTTTGAGGTTGGAAACTACTTTTTAAACCCATTCCTTCTCAGAGGCTGAATAAAACTAGTGTGAGATTTACAATGATATGAAGTGGACGACAACTCAGGTTGGTAAAGTGGCATCTAAAAAGAAAATAAACTAGTTGTGGTGGAAGGCAAAAGAAAGTGAATTAATATGTCACACAGCTTCCCTTAGGAAAGGGAATGAATCCCCAGCCAAATTAATTCAAGTTTGCCAGAATTCAAAGCAATAGCCATACTGCCTGGGGATCTCTGGAATTTGAAATGTTGGGTTCTTATGCCAGAATAAGGACAATTTGAGTTTCATTCTTTTACACTTTTACAAATTATATACCCTTTTTTAAAAGTATGACAGGTAATGCAGAATAGCAATTAAGGAAATCCTCAGTTTAAAACTTGACTCTAGTGAATTTATTAAATGGACCCAAGCAAGTCACTGTATTTTAGCCTTAGATTTCCCATCTGTAACAGAAACCTAGTAATGTTCAGTTATATTATAGGTATAGGATTTTCCCAGATAAATGTTTTATGTTCTTTGAACATGTTAAATTATTACACATGTGCAAATCTTATCAAAATGGTTTTAAGGCAACTCAAAACAAACAGTTTGGATGTTAACATATACAGTACTAAATTGGTGTTTGGCATTACAACCAAACATGCTGTCAAGTTGACCTTTTACTTTCTTATAATGAGACCAGAACACCAGACCAGAAGCTTTTGTGAACATTGTTTAGCTAACTGCAAATTAGCAGCAGAAATTTTGAAACACCAAGAATGAGTTTAAGTATGATTTATTGAAGCATCCAACTTCAAACCATAGATTATGAAGCCTAACTCAATAATCCACGATAATTCGTTTTGAGTATTATGCTATGATTAAATAGAAAATGGAACTTGAATTTGTACAGCTTTGCTATGATCAGAGATTTCAAAAAAAAATGAGGATGCAGTTGACAGTGACTAAAATACTAATAATTGCAAAATACAAAGTTATTGTGAATAAACAAAAGCTTTTGATTTCCTAATCAACTATTTCCAGGATTCATTAAAAAATATCACACTATAGAATCTGATAATACTATTAATCACCATGGAAACTACTATGATGTCACAAAAATTGAATTAGTGCATCACTGGATGAATCTGGAAAAAAATATTGAATACAAAGGATCAAAGCTTCAGTTTGAACAATGTCTTGGTAATTTTGAATGGGAAAAGACTTGTAAAAGAAACCTTGAATTTTAAAACCAATTTTATTTTGAAAGAGAATGAGAGAGAAAAATATTATCAGTGCAACTATTATCCTCATATTTGTTTTATCAGGATCTGGTGCAGGGTACATCCAGTTTACAGGATCTTTCTAAAAGTCCTACTATGCATTTTTATCAAATAGCAGTTCACCACTGCTGTATTTGAAAGAAAAGAAAAGAAAAGAAGAAAGAAAGAAAGAAAGAAAGAAAGAAAGAAAGAAAGAAAGAAAGAAAGAAAGAAAGAAAGAAAGAAAGAAAACACTATCTAAGGTATTTTCCGACTATAAGGCATTAAAATTATTCTTCTTAATAGTTGATTTCTTCCTGTAACCATGGTACCTTAATTTCACTACATGCAGGAATAGCTGCTTAAAAGCAGATTCCAAATCTATACAAGATCCCCATATAATGCAACATGAAATCTACTGCCATTTCCAGTTCCATAAAATTAATTTTAAGGAAGCACAATCCTAGTTAGTGTCGGACTAGTCTTAAATGGATTTTAATGATGTGGTATGCTCAAACAACCAAGTTATTTCCACTAGTTATTAGTTTACATGGAAATCTGACTCTGCTATATATTGAAATAGAAACCCACACACTGCTGCAATATGCCCCCCACCCCTAAATAAGTCATCAAACAGAAGTGTATATATTACAATATATGATCAAATTTCCATTAATATCATGGAAGAACTCTGATATACAGTGCTTATTCCCATTTAAAAGATTGGCAGCATACAAATCCAAATATTTAACTGCACATATATGTTCATATTAAAATGTGTCTGCTAGAACTGTCATGCATGTATCAATATGATTATATTGTAGCAGTCTTGTTATTTATGAAACACACATCTCCTAAGTAACTTAAATGCCTGTTAAATGTTTATATTTTTATTGTATTTTTACTGGTAGGAATTCTTTTCATATAATCATATACAAGTATAATATAAATGTGTATAATTATATTTACGATGATAATTCATATAATAAGCAGATTACCCCAACAAAACTAATCTATTTCATTATTATTGGAAATTCAGGTTTTTAATATAATTTCCTTTCTGTATTCCTTCATACCTAATCCTATGAGAGGGTGATGCTCCACTAAGGCCCAGCTGTTGTCATCCACACAATGACTTTTGTAAACGAGCAACTGGCAGAGGTCCCGGGCTGTTGTATCTGCTAAGATCTCAACTACCTTGCAAGTCCCATCTTCACTAAAAACTTTTATATCCTGCAATACAAAAAAATGATACACTTTATTGATAGCAGCTCTATATTCCAAAAAACATTAAAAGGAAGAAAAAAACAAATACTATACATTTGATATTGGGCACATTGTGGGGTTTGATAATGAACCTATATATACTCTGATGCAATAAAATGCTGCCTCCTAGGTGCTGTTCAGATTAAGTCTATTTGAATAATTTATCTAATTTTGGGGCCATGGGAAGGAAAGCTATAAAAAACACACATTACATATAATGTATCTTTGCACCTTTTCTAGAAACCCAACAAGCTAGGAATCTCAGAAAAATGAGTTCTTACAACTATGTTAATATGAATATTAAATGAGTTCTTGCAACTATGTTAATATGAATATTAAGTGTTAATATAAATATTAAATCTCTAATACTAGGGATTCAAACAATTGGCAGAGGTAGGGAGGTGGCAAGATTAATCACATATTCTCCACTTCAAGATTTTTTTGCCCTCAAAAACATGAAATAAAAAGATCAATTAAAATACAACTCTCTTGATTAGTATTAAGTTTGTCTAATTTGGAACTGAATTTAAAACAGTTGCAAGCACTAGTTACACTTCTTTCATGCTCATATCACAAAATCCCATCCTTTCTTGCCACTAAATATACTAATAATTGACAAGAATAAAAATAGAATAAGAATAAATGTATTATCTTTAATCATTAATTAAGATTTGTAGTCTGTTAGCAACCTGTGAATCTTCATTAAATAGATAATTCCCATTACTAATTACTATTGTCTTAATCAGTAATAATAAATAGTATTAGCCCTGCAAAAAATATCCCATTCACAAGTTTAAGCTTAGATTAAGATTTAATACAGATTTAACCCTGTGTTAACTTTATATTCTGATCTGGGAACGAGAAAGAGGAAAAGAAAGCATTTTACCTCACCAGTGTGCACAAAGCAGCAGTCAGGAGAACAAGAAGGCATTTTAAAATATTGATTTCTTGTTCAGGAAGATTGTTCTCTGCCCCTTCCAGCCCTTTGAAATTCCAAGCTCAAGCAACTCAGGTTATTTCAATGGTTATTTCAGTGCCAGCAAGTCCTGGTGGTGTGTGCACCATTTTCTGGAGGAAGCAGAACTTCCCTCAAAGGGTTACACACAATCTTTTAGGTAGTGAATCAAACCACACTGTACAGACCAATCCTAGCCCTTTTTGTGACTGATGTAATCATTTACACAGAACTTGCAGACATCCAAATTATGACCCCAGGAAGAATTTTCTTCCTTTATGACCACCCACATTTTAAAAAAGAACACCACACAGCCCAGAAATCATTCGCCAGGATCACCGAAGTTTAAAAGAGCCAAATTCTGCAGCCCAAACCCGACTGGCTCCTTGAACTGTTGGAGAGATTGCCAAATCTCTCTCCATTTCCCACCTTGTGGAAGCAGCTGATGTCATTTGTTCGCAGTTAAGCCCTTGAACTTCTCCAAAGCTTTTAATGCTACTACTTCTCACACTCACACTCACACACACACAGACAAGGCAGGATCGTTCCCTCCCTCTCTGCTTCTCTGAAGCGTAATAGAGGCTTTCAAAGAGAGCTGAGGAACTATCATAAATTCAAAAGCTCCATCTATCCATTCTTGTGTTACGCTGTATATTTAAGAAAGGGACTCCACAGTGTCGTATTAATGTAATACCAATTCTCCGCTCACTGTTGAATCAGCAGCACAGAGTAGCATGGAAAGGCATGATTAGGGAGGAGTTAAAATTTAAATATGAAGGAAAAAAACACGACTCAAAGCTGGTTCATTCAGGAAACAGCATCTTTTGAAAAGCAGGATGAGCCAGCTCTTTCAGAAGAAGGGGGAAGGCGAGTTCTTATTAAAGAAACTCTAAAAAGTGATTTAGCTTTATAAAATTCCTACATATTCCTCCCCCCCCCCAAAAAAAACCACCCTAGCTTACAAATAAAGGTGGACTTCAAAGTTTTGTGTATACACTGTTTAGCCTCTTTTTAAAACCAGGATCTTGGGGATTTTATTTTCCAGAGTCTAAAGATAGAATATTTCATACTCAAGTGGTTACAACCCAAGTAAGACAGGTTCAACTGCTTCAATGAAATACATGCATTATGTATAGTCATTGCTGTGGGCAGCTAAAGAACTAAAGAGCTAAAGATTTTTCATTTTTCCTGAAAAATCTGTTCATTAGCAGCAGCAGCAGCAAACATCAGTAGCCTTCTTTCCCTTATATGAATTTATTTCAGAAGGGTGACCAGATAAACTTAATGCAGGAAAAAAAAACCAATGTTTTTACAGAACTTTAAAGTAACCAACAGATTATACCATACATCTAGATACAATCTAATAAAATCAATTGCTGCTCAAATTTTCCATCATAAATTACATATGAATAGTTTTCCACCAGAGAGAACCAGAGATTCCCAAAGTACCAAACATGGTATACCTACTGTTTCCTAATATGTTACTGCAAGCCACTTGCAAATATTATCTATCACAGGGCTGTCAAACTGGTGGCCCACGGGCCGAATGCATCACCTGCAGGCCATGCCTATCCCGACTCTGCAAAGGCAAAAAATTCCGCGATATGTCATGTGATGCAATCGAGTTTGACACCAGTACTCTATCACAATTACTAGGCTGAGAATGATAGAGGGTGGCTATCTATTGAGGTCACAGCTGAGAAAAGTTTTAACTCAGGAACTCACAGTACACTCATTCATTCACCAAATCTCAAGGAAATAATGTGAACTTTTGTAGAGGACTTTAGCTGCAACTGCTTCAGAGCTCAAACATTGTTGGAATCCTGCCATCTTTATGAGAACCGTAGCAGCTAATATAGATGCACAGTAAGTAGCACAAGAAATTTTCTTAACTGGACTGCTGGTTATGTTTCATTTGTTGCACAGGAAGTAGGCTCACGTTCAGGCTTGACAGCATCAAAGAAGATACCATCAGTTCAGAATCCTAAACTACATCATAACAAGGGAGGGCGAGGAATGGAGGTTAACCTTCATTGCCATTTTCCAGATTAACATCTCATCCCATCCAGCAATGTAAAAGCCTCTCTCCTTACCAGTTCCTAATTATTATACAAGAATGAGGGTTCAGACATAAAGCATATGTGAATAAGAACGACTGACTTGTGCATTATGGGATTATATATGAATATGTGGCAGAAATAAATGCATAAAAGAAAAAATGGGTGGGAGGTAACCTTGACCTCTTTTCTTTTCTTTTTTCTTTTCTTTTCTTTTTTCTTTTCTTTTTTCTTTTCTTTTTCTTTTTTTTTGCTTATATGAGGCACTCATCTTTGGCATTTGCCCCCAACTTTTGTGGCAGTTCAGTGTAGTGGTTAAGGCAGTTCAGTGTAGTGGTTAAGGCATCAAGCTACAAAGCAGGGAACCATGAGTTCAAATCTCTCCTTAACCATGAGAGCCAGTCACTGTCTTTCAGGATGGCTGTTGTGAGAAAAATAGGAGAAAGGTGTGTTGGATATGTTCACCACCGCTTTTAATTATTTGTAAAAATAATAAAAGCAGGATAAAAACAAACAAATATATAGGTTCCAGAGGCTTAAAAAAGATTCTTCACCTCTCATATAAGATAGGTAACTGTATATCATTGTTATTTATATAATGCAGGTATTACATGTTAGGAACTTACAAGTGAACAGACTTATTAATAGTTCTCATCATGGGAAAGCTTAGGTTTACTGGAGGAGAAGAGGAATTGTGAAGAAAGAAATGCCAAGCATCCAGATTTTATTTCAAAAAATCCTGGAGTTTCTTGCAACATACAGAAGACTCACCCTGAGTCTTCGGAGAGGGGCGGCATACAAATTGAATTAATAAATAAATAATAATGCCAGATCCATTTAAACAAATTACAATCTATTTTACAAGTAATTGCAGCTTGTTCCAAATGATAACCTTTAAAACCCTTTTCCTCTCCAGGTATACAGGATGGAAGCAGAAAACCCACAGCTCACCAGAGCATGTTTTTACTACAGGGAGCCAAGGAATTTGTGACTAAATTAATCCCAACCAAAAATTAACATTAAACAAATATGATATAGATGTCTTCATCCTTTTAGCAACAGCAATTATGAACTACTTATAGCATTAGACAAAAGCTAACACTGCTTCTTTTCAGCAGTTTAACATCCACCCTTATTTGCTATAAAGACACAAGTATAGTTATCTGTCTTGTCTGGTTAGAGGCTCCCTGACCCTAGTCTATAAATCATTGCTGACAAAGCAAGCAATCTCTGGAAATATTATAAAATTCTTCCACATAATTAAATTTTGTTTAAGAATATATCAGAATTGTGCACATAAGAGTAAACAAGTGTTTTTTCTGTCCCTAATATAAATATAGAAAAAATGTAGTGATTGTACAATTCCTTTGTCTACAATATTTCTATTTTCCCTTCTATTAGAGATTTCTATGACATTACCATCTATTGAGTCCTTTGAAAATGTCTTATGTTTTTCTTTGGTGACTCAGACAGCACAATCTCACAAACACACACACTGAGTTGCAACATGGTTCTGAGGCTGAACTCAGAGTGGCAAGACACAAATTCTAGTGCCCCTCACCCTTAAGCACAAAGGCTGGGAGACCTTGGGATAATTACTGTTCCTTAGTTGTACAGGGAAATGTTGAAAACCAGATACCTACCAAACACAGAAATTACAGTCATGATTAGCAATAGCAATAACACTTTATATACCACATTGCAGTGCTTTACAATAGGCGATTTACAATCTCAGCATATTGCCCCAACAATCTGGGTCTTCATTTTATCTACCTCAGAACAATGAAGATTGAATCAACCTTGAACCTGTCAGAATCGAACTCTAAATGATGGGCAGAATTAGCTGCACTACTGCATTCTAACCATTGTACCACTAGGCCTCTTTTTAGTTCATTAATGACTACAATCTCATTTTTAGTATGCCAATCTCTGCATTGGTAGGTCTTTTTCTTTAAAGGCTCCTGATCAATTTAAACTGGGAATGTATTAATCACACAGGATTCTGTCCTGTGTGAGTGCACTGATGGTAGGTTCGTGAGATTCCTGCTAACAAGTCATGGGCATGCTTTCTAATATTTTATTTCTTTAGGAAATAGGCAATGCCATTTTGCATAATCCACAAGATAGTTCTGCATGCTGCAAATTATATCATGATGGAGTGTTTACTGAAATATTTGGAAAATGGTAATACTGACAAGGGTTATGCCAGTTTCATCTTCTGGTCCTAGTGACAGGAAGGCCAATAAATCTTCTAGAATCTCAAATCTAACAGAAGGATCAGTGGAATACAGGACAGACCACTGGACCAGGATAAAGTAAGGAGCTCTCTCAATATACCATATGAGCTGCCTCCTGCTTCACCCCATTCTGCTCTCCCTCCCTCCAATTTCATATCTGGATTATTTGGGGGCAAAGGTCAGTCTTCAGGTCAGCCTTAACCCCTGTTTGGAAACAGTTCAAATGACAGATTACCAGTACAAAACTTCTACTGAAGCATTCTGCACTCAAGACAACTTGAAAGGTAATTAAAGTCTCTATTCCAGGCACCTGCTCAAACTCACCCAAGTCTATCCCATACTACTTTAAGGAGAGTGATTGGTAGTACTTTTCCCATCAGTAAGTGTGCTGGACAGAAGGAGAAAAAAACCAGGAGAATCTACGAATCATTACTCTTAAATTGTCCACCATAACGCTATAAGGACAGGACCACACACAACTCTTCTTACTAAGGCAGACTGGAATTGGATCATCAGAGCTGTACAGATTATGCTCAGCTATTTTTTTTATCCACTTAAAGATTAGAGAATCATATTAAAGCAATCTGGTCAAAAACCCTCAGCCATTCACTGTAAATGGAAGATAAGGAAAGCTAATATGGCACATATATAACAAAGATGTGATTAAATAGAATGAATATCATTTTCACATCAGATTAGTTTCAAAGCATAGTAAAAAATAAAGGTGACAGAAGTATAAAATGTTTCTGTATAGTGAAGCTGATCAGGGATTAAAAATTTCAATATTTTATTTGAAATATTTTAGTCACATTTGTCTTTAAATGAAGGCAAAGGTAAACTTTGTTTTTGTGCATTGCTTTCCTAAAGTCAACTATACTGAAATCTCAGATGGACTCTATTTGCTTGTTTTGGTTCCACTCTGGCAAATTCTAGTCTTGCCTGTCACCGTATAATTATTTGCATCTTGAAATTATTCTTGAAACTACAAATTACTTGGTCACTGAAGATCTATCAGTTCATTTTTTTTCTTTCAATTTTTTTTTCCTGAATTAAGCAGAAAATAATGTTGTTATATGAGAATACAGGGATAGCATGCATTAAATTTTACTACTGAAAGTACAGAATTTTCTCCCTCCCATTTATATTTAATTTCAGTTGGCTTTTTTCTTGTTGATTTGTGGGATTTTTTGGTATCTGTTTTTCTATCTTACATCTATATTGCATTCTATTGTAATATTCTTCATAAAGTAAAACTTTGAGGAAATAAATTTCCTATTAAGCTAACACAAATACTGTCTATGTTAAGAAAGTGTGATCTAAAATTACTTTTTCTTTTCAATAGAAAGCAAGAGTTCTTTCAAAAGCTTTTATAGAAAACCTGGTTAAGGCTATCTACATATAACTGACAACTCCAAATACAAAATACTGTACTCCAAATACAGTACTAACCTAGTTGGTAATCTTCAAAGCTGATTAAGATATGTCCAATTAATGTGGCTATTTTTAATACTTTCAGCTATATCAAGAGATCAGTCTTTAAAATTAATTAATTTTTTGTCTTAGGGTTGTGTTTTTTAAAGAAATACTATTTTTCTCTACATTTATTGTTAAGAGAGAAAGAGAGTGAATATTCTTACTATATCACATAATAAGTAAATTGGACTTGAACCGAACATTAAATCCTTTTTTTAATTACAATAATCCTTATGTTCAAACTATAATCTTACAATTTTACATACAGGAATTTAACGTAATGAATTTAAATATTTCTGCATTTCAGTGTGTATGTATTAGTTTTCATATAATCATAACATTGGAAGAAACTGGATAATCTAGTCTAGTGGTTCTCAACCTGTGGGTCGCGACCCCTTTGGGGGTCGAATGACCCTTTCACAGGGGTCGCCTAAGACCATGGAAAACACATATTTTCAATGGTCTTAGCAATAATTTTATGGCTGGGGGTCACCACCACATGAGAAAAGGGTCGCGGCATTAGGAAGATTGAGAACCACTGATTTCTAGTCCAACCCCTACTTAATACAGAAGTCACCAAACAGATGATTACATAGCCTCTATTTGAAGACCTGAAGTAAAGGAGAACTCACAAGTTCATGCGGCCACTTGTCTGTCTGACAGCTCATACAGGTAGGATGTTCTTTGTGACAGCTAGCCTTCTCTTCCTTTCTTATAATGTTAAGTTTTAAATTCTGATGATGGGCAATAAGAAGTAAGTCTGTCTGTATGACAAATATTTAGATATTTGAAAACTCTTAAAATAACTTTCTTCAACTGTGTTGCTGTAGGCTAAATATATCCATACTTGTAACCGTTTTTCATATGGTTTGGTTTCAGTTCCTTTTTCTTGATATTTCCCTAAATTTGTGCCAATTTAGCAAACTGTTTTGAACTATGATTCCCAAAAGAGTCATGAGCCTATCTAGAGTTTTCTGATTGTTTGTTTTTAAAAAATTCTCTTTCAACTAAAGCAACTCATCTTAGTTTTGTGTCATCTATGTATCTTAAAAGCCACTCTTCAATTACTTCATCCAATTTCTGAATCATTGTTGAATAGCACTAGAACAGTGCATAATGCGGTACTCCACTCAGCACTTCTCTCAAAACTGAAGTGGAGCTATTAATAAATGTTCTTTAGGTATAGTCATTTAGACAACTGGGAGGCTAGTAAATGAATGGAAAAACCTGAAGAATATCATTGGCTACAGCAGACCTCCTTCCCTTACTGAAGAGAATCAGCAACTGGCAGATGAATGTGTTCTATTGTAGGGTTGAGAGGAGATCACTGTCAACTATCGCTACCCTTCCCATTTCAGATAGACCAATGGTAGCTAAATCACCTACATCTATCTACATCCCTTTGGGGCCCCACATCTCTGGCTATCTTAGAAAAAGATGTGCGATGTCTATTTCATTAACAAAAGATCAGAAAAACATCAAGCCCAGAAGCATTGGCACAGAGCCACCAATCCCATCAGTTTGACAAATTGGACTCTAGTTCAGTAAGTGAGGTCAAGTTCTTGAAGCTTGAAGCTGGCCAGACTGGAAACTGGCTGTGATGCCAGCTGCCCTGTCCCCTTAAAATCATCTGTGCTGGATTGGTGGAATTCGAGGTGGCCCATGTTTTTCAGTGGCCACTGCCACCTGTTGTGCCTTGCCTGGACCCAGTCTGCACCCAGACCCTCCTTGTAATGCAGGAGCATCTCAGATCTGGGTGCAGAGTGGAACCAAGGAAAAACTCAATAGGTAGCAATGGCAGATGCCACAGGATGCAGCCTGGTGCCCAGATATGTGGCTATTTGTCCTGTGCAGCCTATTGGCCAGTGTCTCTCTGAAAACTGGCCAGGATGAGAGTGTGGGGGACCAGTGGTGAGTGACCACTGGCAGAGGAAAAACACCAGCGGAGGGCCAGCTGACTATAAATGGCCCCCAGTGAAGTGGGAGATTGCAAAGATCTATTTGTCAGAAATGTATACATTTTAGGGCAGTCTTTCTCAATTTTGGGAACTTTAAGAACTTTAAGATAATTGTCTATAGTTGTGCTATGTTTTTAGAAAGAATTTATCCAATCTCATAGAAAATCAGGATGATATGAAACATTCCAAGGGTTTTTAAAGCTACCAAAACATTTTTTTCTATCAATAGATGGAAGAGAATTCTTAGAAGGAATTGGGTTGCAACTATCCCACTGTCAAATTCTAAAAGCAAGACAAATATTCATGCTACTTTCAAGTGCTGGCCTAAATATATAGCTCTTCAATGCTCACAGCAGGAGAAAAAAACATTTTTAACAAAATCTCTGCCCACTCATTCCATTGATGCTAATCCAACAGGAGACAGGGATTTGGGGGAGGCAAAAGCTTGCATGACTCCTGTTTTAATACTACTTACTTACAGGAGTAATTTCCATAAAGTAATCACGTTTTTGTAAAGATAGTTCTTTATTTGGCATTTGAGTGCTATTGCCCATTAAAATTGAAAGCACTGGACTGAAAAGTTCAGTTCTGGTTGCACTCTGATTTTGGTAGTTCATTATGCATATAAAACCAATTCAGAAGCAATGAACTATTTTACTTCATAATTCTGAGCAACAGCAATTATATTGCATGCAGATGTACTAAGTTACTTATGCTAAAAATAAGATACCCTTTGATCAAGTACAACATAACATGATTCTTCCTTGTGATGAGTGATCGCAAGAAATTTTTTAAAAAATCCATGTTAAAACCAGACACTTTCAAAAACATAAAGAAAGTCTCACTCACTTGCTTATTCATAGGTTGACTCTGAGGTAGAGATCCCGGTGCCAACACAGGTGAATTTGTGGGGCTGCAAAGTTCAGGGAAAGGATTTGGAATGGCAGGCAAAGAGGATGTTCTGAATTGTTGTTCTTCCTCCTGCAGACGTCTATAGTCAAATCAAATCTTTATTATAACCAAAGTTCAACATAAAGAGAATGGGATACAGTCAATTTAAAAAGCATTAAGAACACAGGTAGTTTTCAATTTACAACAGCTGATTTAGTGACTATTCAAAGTTACAACAGTCCTGAAAAAACAACTTGGTAACTGACTCATATTTATGACTGTTGCAGTATTCCAGAATCATGTGATCACCTTTTGTGACCTTCTGACAAGCAAGTTCAATGGGGGAGTAGATACACATAACATGTGTTATTAACTTAACAACTGCAGTGATTAACTTAACAGCGGTGGTAAGAAAGGTCATACATTGGGGCAAAATTCACTTAACTGTCTCCCTTAGCAACAGAAATTTTGAGTTCAATTGTAGTCAAGGAATATCTGTACATCAGTGTAATGACAAAAATGTAAAAAAAATACAAAATAAAAAGTATATATAAAACAAAAGTCTAAAAGGAATTTAAACATACAGATATAGAACATACAGATATTTTCAAAGAGTACTCTGATTAGGATAGTTAGCATTAGTTAAAGTGGGACAAAAATAAAAACCATGGCTATGGGGCCATTTTCCAAGACGCTTTGCTGAACAGAAATTTTTGATGGAAATTTTTCTTTTCTTTTCTTTTATCCTTTATTGTGAGAAGTATTATCTCAACATTTTCTGTGGCAACTTTATCTAATTTCCCTGTTCTTGAAAGGAACTATTTATGCCTGGTTGTGAATGCCCAGGTAATGCAACCTATGTACCAATTTAAGGGTAAAGCGCTCTGCAAAGCCTGCAAAACAAATACTTTTTAACTTACAAGCTCAAATTGAAAACTTTGGTAAAAAGTTTGATAAAATAGCAATGATTTTAAATCAACCTGGATAGCTCAGCAGACTAATGTATTGTAATTTAACTCCAGCTGTCTGCAATTAGTAAGTTTGAATCTTGCCAGACTCAAGGTTGACTCAGCCTTCCATCCTTTCTAAGGTAGGTAAATTGAGGACCCAGTTTGTTGGGGCAATAAGCTGACTTTGTAAAAATATATAAAAGTATGAAGGCTATTGCTTAACGCATTGTAAGCCGCCCTGAGACTCCGGAGAAGGGCGGCATATAAATCAAATTTAAAACAAAATAAATAAATTAAAAACAAAACAAAACCTGAAGAGGATATCCACATACTAGAAATTATAGCCAAACCAAACTCACAATTGGTTGGATTGGAATCTGGAAACTGCTGTTGCCAGATTTAAAGGAGAAGGAACTTGGGTTTAGAAACTGCTGGTTTGTTGGACAAGGCTGAAAGGGAAATGGAGTCTACAGATTAACAGAATTGATGAGGAATGAAATATATTTTCTTAAGAAGATTGATGACAAATTGGGGAATGGGCTTACTATATCTATCTCAAAAACAATTTGGATTGGATTCTTTTGGGGGGAAGATGGATTGACCACAGAGGTTTATGATTCTGGGGAAGTTTTCAACCAAAATTTTAAGGAAGTTTTATTATTAACAATCTAATGAGGATATTTGATCCTGGACAGATCAGAGATATTAATTGTGACCATTTGTTAAATACAATAATAGATTTATAACACAGGGCTGTGAAGTTTAACTGCTGTTGATTCATCTTTGCTTTTATGCATAGTAGATAGATCACAGGTCAAATAGATGTAGAAGTTTATATTTATTTGGAGCCTGCTTCTCAACAGCGGGTGGAGAGACTAAGATTGTTGCAATATATTTATCAGTATTCAACAAGGGAGGTAATATATGTATATGTGTTTCTGTTTTTTGTCCTTTTTAATACTTTTTCTTTTTCATTTTTAATGTTTTGTCTAATTTTCTTTTGTTCTTGTAAAAATTTTCTTTTTTGTACTATATTTTATTTTAACTTTCTGAATAAAATAAAAAATTATTCAAAAAAACATGGTAAAGTTTACCAAAGCAAAAGAAATTTATTTGTGACCTAGAAACAACAGACAATCACATATCTTAATTCTTATTTTTAAATATCTAATTAGGCCCACCATATTTTCTAATATCTTGCTAATTCTGTTTAGCAGCATCATAATGACAGCTAATTCAATAAACTATGGATATACATTTTTTTTCATGTTTCTAAGCATTTATCTATATAGATAAATGCTTAGAAACTTAGAAAATAGAAAAAAAAATCTAGAAATTTACAAATACTGGTTTAGCCTCTCACAGAATAAAGTTATTTAAATTTGTGCTTTAAAAAAGTTCTTCATCAGTATCAGAATAAGTATTTTTCCCCTTTATATTTTACTTTACTTTAACTTTGCTCATAACTAAGGTATTTTGGAATTATACAATTCTTTTATTGTTAAATTACCAATGTTTTGTTCTTGAATTTAATTTACTTAGATCCAAATCTATTTCTAATCTGATACAATGGATATTAATTTTAAAAAATTCTGAACATCTGAAGTGCTGCAATATTAACATTTATTCAGAAACAAGGCCGTCTGAGTTCCATGAGATTTACTTCCAACCAATTATACTTAATCATTTCTAAACTGAATGCTGGGGCAAATAGTTATTTTGAGAAAAGAGCTGTTATATAAGAAAAGAGCCTAGAATTGTTCTGGCAACTGAGATGATCTATAAATTAATTAAACAAGCAAACAGGAAACTGCTTGTTGACCTAGCTTTGCCTTCAACTTTCACTCTGAGCAGATAACCTTCTCCAGCCTTTGCTTGAGACATTCAACTCTCAGTACAGAGGCTCAGGGAGGGACATGCATGAGCTATTCAGTAGATTCCCAGTCCTCTTTCTTTCCTCCTTCCAGAACTTCCAAAACTTATGTCAGTGTAAAAGAATGTTGTACTTTATTCTAAATAAGTACAGTGCTAAGAGGAAGCACATTCAGAATACTGACTCATACAAAAACAAAAACGAGTGCCTTTAAAGTTGTCAGTGCTTCATATTTTTAAAAAACTTAACATTAAAAAAAACAAGTTTTCAGGAGAAAATGCATACTATAACAAATAGGCTCAAGGAACTGCTGTATTAAATAAATGTGTTTATATATGATGAACCCTAGCACCCTAAAGAATTCAAATAGGACCACTGATACTACCTTCAATTTACAGAGAGATAAAGCAGAGAGATAATGCATCCTGCCAAGTTCTTGCTGTAAATCAGACCCCAAATTTTATTGTTATAATTGCATTCTGAATTGGATCGTTATTGCCATGATTACCTGACTGCCGTGATGCGAACTGGTTGAGACCTCTGTATTTTCTGTCGTGGAGACACTGGATGCAGTGAACTAGTTCCTGAAGCTAACAGCTGGCTGCCATTCTGAAGGAGAGGTGTACTTTCTGAATGCATACAGAAGGTGGAACATAGACTTTCAAATGAGGAGTTCATATTGTTAACTAAAGCTTCCAAATCCACATCATCATCTAAAAGGATAGAAAGAGATGAACACTGAAGATCAGAAGCAATATATACATTCATTTTATATAAAGAACTACACATATCTGGACAGTTCTAATATAACAATTATCTACCATTTGGCATTAATTTCTCCAGGTTTACTGGATTATGCAGATGAGGACTGTTGTTCAGAGATATAGAAATATTCATTTGTTTATATTTATACAGCTTCCCAACTTGTTAAAACAACTTAGGGTGGTGAACACAGTATGATGAATAATAGAATAACTGAATAACAGAATTGAAAGGAACCTTGGAGATCTGCAACCTTAAACATTCAAAGAGCCATTTGAACCAGTTTCCCACAGAACAGAAAACACCGGGAGCCACAAAACCACCCAGTCACAGAACACACATCTCCAGCCATGCCTACCCAGGCTTTGTGGCTCTCTGTATTCTATTTTCTCTGGGAAACAAGTATTTCTCTCTGTATGTCTCTCTCTCTCTCTCTCTTTCTCTTTCTCTCTCTCTCTTTCTTATCTCTCTCCCTCTCATCTCTCTCTCTCCGTGTCTCTCTTTCTCCATAGGATTTAAATCAAAAGTCATTTCAGGTTCCCAAATAAATGAATCTCTTTCATTCCCCTGCTGTGGCTTCCTATTGACTGAACCCCTGCACTCGCCTGAGAAGCTAAGGGCGATGGTGGCAGATGGAGACTCGCTCCATATTCCAGAGCGGGAAGCGCTCCGATGCTCCACATCATAATGGGCTCCAGGAGAAGGAAGGGATACCACCTCCCCCATTGTGAAGCATGCTTAATTTAAGTGTGTGCTCAAGGCGTTGCAAGAGGAGCAAGCAGGCCATGGAGGTGGCGAGAGCAGCAGCATCAGCCACGGCCAGGCCAGTATCTTGGGGCAAAAAGCAAGTTGCACGTCTACCCAAGCAACAGAGATGCGTGCAGCACCAACAAGGGCTGGAAGAAGAGGCAGTTACAGGGCGCTTCATTCCTGCTCTGGAATATGGAGTGAGTCTCCATCCGCCGCTGTCACCCTTACCTTCTCAGGCGAGGAGTGACTAGGAGGGAAGGGGAAGGGGCAGGGCCAGCCTGTCGGTGGGTTCAGCCAACAGGGAGCCACAGAAGGGAAATGAAAGATCCGCATGCAACTCTGGAGCAGTGGGTTGCTGACACCCGTCCTAGTCCAACTCCCTGCTCAAGCAGGAAATCCTATAACATTTCAGACAAGTAATTGTTCAGTCTCTTTTTAAAAACCTCCAGTGATGGATTATCCACAACTCCTGGAAGCAAGTCATCCTACTGATTGTTCTAACTGTCAGGAAATTTCTCCTTAGTTCTAGATTGGTTCTCTCCTTCATTAATTTCCATTCATTGCTTTTTGATCTGCCACCAGTGTTTTAGAAAATAGGTTGACTCTCTATTCTTTGTTGAAGCCCCTTGGATATTGAAAGACTGTTATCATGTCACTCCTAGTCCTCCTCCCCCCCCCCCATTTTTTTTTTTTAATTTGATTTATATGCCGCCTTTCTCCGGAGACTCAGGGCGGCTTACAATGCGTTAAGCAATAGCCTTCATTCTTTTGTATATTTATACAAAGTCAGCTTATTGCCCCCACAAACTGGGTCCTCATTTCACCTACCTTAGAAAGGATGGAAGGCTGAGTCAACCTTGAGCCTTGGAAAGATTCGAACCAGCAGTAAATTGCAGGCAGCTGTGTTAATAACAGGGTGCGTAACCACTGTACTATCAAGGCCCCCATTAAACTAGATATATCTAATTCCTGCAATCATTCATCATATGTTTTAGCCTCCAGTTCCCTAATCATCTTTATTGCTTTTCCTTGCAGTCAAAATATGTTTTACATTATGGCAACCAAGACTGGAGGCAGTATTCCAAGTATGCTCTTACCAAGGCATTATAAAACAATACTAACATTCAAGTGATCTTGATTCTATCCCTCTGTTAATGCAGTCTAGGACTGTATTGGCTTTTTTGACAACTGCAGCACACTGATGGTTCATATTTAAATGATTGTCCACTAGGACTCCAAGATCCCTCTCACAGTTACTACTATTGAGCCAAGAACCACCTATTCTATAACCATGCATTTGGTTTTTCTTGTCTAAATGTAAAATCTTATTTTTCTTACCACTGGAGTTCTTTTGTTAGATAAGACCCAGTGCTCAAGTCTGTTGTGATCCGTCTGCATCTTGAGCCTGTCTTCTGAATGTTGGCTATTCCTTCCAATTTGGTGTCATCTGCAAATTTATGGATTCCCTTTCTATACATTCATCTATCTTATTTATGAATATATTGAAATCAGTGGTGAAATTCAAATTATTTTACTACCAGTTCTGTGGGCATGGCGTGGCGTGGCATGGTGTGGTGTGGTGTGGCTTGGTGGGCATGGCAGAGGAAGGATACTGCAAAATCTCCATTCCTACCCCACTCCAGGGGAAGGATACTGCAAAATCTCCATTCCCTCCCCGCTCTGAGGCCAGCCAGAGGTGGTATTTGCCGGTTCTCCGAACTACTCAAAATTTCCGCTACTGGTTCTTCAGAACCTGTTGAATTTCAACCCTGATTGAAGTGTACTGGGCCTAAAACAGAGCCAGAGCCACTGCATACTTCCCTCAATATTCAGTTCCATTAATGAGCACACGCTGAGTTTCACTGGTCAGTCAGGATATGAATCCATCTGGTGGTGATGCTGTTTAACCCATATTTTTATATCTTATCAAGTAATAGGCTTTGGTCTACTTTATCAATACTTTACTGAAGTCCAAGTAAATTATGTCCATAGCATTCCATTGCTCCACTAATTCTGTCACATTTTCAAAGACTGTAATAAGATTTGTCTGGCATGATCTGTTTTTGACAATCCCACATTGGCTTCTTGTTGTATAAAGTATAAAAATAAAAACTACCATATGTATAGCACTTGTAACAAACTTATAACATACAATCCAAAATGACAGTAGCCAAGAATAAAAAGACCACAAAATAATGTCTAATCACTCATCCCTGCCAAGCCAAACTACTACGTCTTCAGCGCTTTCCAGAAAGCCAGCCGAGTCAGGATCAATCTGATCTTGCTACTGCTACCATAAAAGCACACTATCTGGCTCATACAAGATGGCATTCTTCAATTTAAAACTGAAGATTTATTTATTTATTATTTAAATTTTTATACCGCCTTTCTCCCGAGGGACTCAGGGTGGTGCACAGCCACAATAAAACACTTATATCTATAAAATTTAAAATCAGTTTAAAACATATTAAATAATTTGGCCCTTATATTAAAAAAAACTAAAACACTCATTAAAATTCGTTATTTAAGCCAGCCCAGCCTGTTGAAACAGTAAAGTCTTAAGGGCATGGCGAAAGGTATGTAGGTCAGGGATCACACGTATCTCCGGGGGGCAATTCATTCCAGAGGGCAGGTGCCCCCACAGAGAAGGCTCTCCCCCTGGGGGTTGCCAGTCAACATTGTTTGACCGACGGCACCATGAGGAGTCTCTCTCTGTGGGAGGCTATCGGTGGCAGAAGGCAATCACGTAAGTACCCAGGTCCTAAGCCATGGAGCGCTTTAAAGATGGTAACCAGCACCTTGAATCACACCCAGAAGACCACCGGGAGCCAGTGCAGCTCGTGCAAGAGAAGTGTTACATGGGTGCGCCGTGTTGCTCCCATAATCACCCACACAGCCATATTCTGGACCAGTTGGAGCCTCTGAGTGCTCTTCAAGGGGAGCCCCATGAAGAGAGCATTACAGTAGTCCAGATGGGAAGTGATGAGGGCATGAGTGACCGTGCGCAAGGCACGGTCCTGCCAGGATCCCCTCCTGCCACATCTAATAGGATGGTAGAGACACAGGTTTAAGATGACAAATCATAAGAGCATGTACAGAGAATGAACAAAATACCAGTGGTTGTCTTTCCATGTATAATTTACAATTTTAACAGTATTAGCACTTTTTAAAATATTATTTTCATTCTAAAATAATAGCAACAGCAGGCACATAATGGAATATTGTTGCAGCTTCAATGCATTGTGTTTTGGAAAAAAGAACAAGTGTTATTATCTTTTCCATCTGCTTTCTTTCTGGTTATCACCACTATCTCACAATTAAAAAAAAACTTTAAAAGCTAAAATTAAAATCTGTTTTCTTATCTCGTAAGTATATAAGACATTATTATGTCATATAAGACATACATATGACTATATGTATAAACAGATATCAGGGCAATAATAAGCAATTTTAAAGATTTTATATGAGGTATTTCTCCATCTACAATGCCTATCAACAAGTGAAAAATCAAATCAACAGAACTAGATACCTATCTAAAAATAATTTGCTACAGGACAGACTCCAGTAAAAAAAAAAAACACACCTAAATAACACTCATAGTTGATATAGACATTTGCCAGTTCAAACTTCACAAGTATATTGTGGCAGATCCCAAAGTATTCTAATGTCTACATCATAATTTATAAGTAATGTCAATATTGCTTTTAAACAAAGGAACTCCCTTCAAAACCACAAAAATCCTAAGTCAGAGTTGCTATTTCAGTCATGTCTGATACGCTCTGTAATCAGATCTCTAAGTCTGTTTCCTTTTCAGGGACAGTCACTTCTCACTACTGACATTTAGGTTCTTTCAGCTTTCTCAGTATTAACTCTAATTGATTTATTTACTTCTTTAATTCAATGCTCTTCTCAAACAGACTTCTTTGTCTGAATTCCATCAGCTCATAATAGAATATTGTGATGAAAAGAGAATGGCAAAAGTTAACCATTAACACTTTTTTCCAATCAGAGCATCCACAGTGGATTTTTTTTTTAGTACTCCTGCTGGCCAAAGGACACTGCAGATTCAACTGTATTCAAACTGAAAGCCAACAGTTTTAATATATAGCTGACCTACAGGATATTGGAACCCTGTACCATTGTTAGTTGTTTCAATTGCCTTTGTCCATTGTCTAGAAAACTCCCCACTCCAACCTTGATG